TTTCAAAATTTGCACTTTTTCACTTTCACTGCTCTCTCTCCCAAGCCAATTGATTTTCTTAAAGTCTCGGTGATACATATTTTTTTATTTGACGAGCTGGCTCTACCGGCAGACTACCGGCAGCAGCAACAAATATAGGACGTCAACAAAAGTGGTACGCTTGATCAGTGTAGCACATTTACAGACGTTAAATTCCCTACATTTTTCAGGTGACGAAATTGCCCCAGTGGTGTGGCGATTTTACCCCCCCCCCCTATGTGGCGGAATTGCCCCAGTATATTGGTTTTACTTTATATATTATATTTTATAAATAACCAATCGTCGATCATTGTCGGTCGCGTGTAGACGTGTTTTCTTAACGCTCCGGAAAAACAAAAGAAAATCAATCATTCACCCAGTTGAAAACATTCGAAAATTTAGAACAGTGTGGTCTTGCGTTTCGCGATGCTAATCGCATATTGTAAACTAATTAATTAATTAATTAATCTTTACGCACTAACAATAAGCAAATGATTAAGAACGTGGATCAGCGCACTCAACGCCAAAAACAACAAGACGAAGCCCGTGAAAAAATTCAGAGAGAGCAAAAAAAACGTCGTCTTTCCTTGGCCCGTAGCAATGCAAAACTCCAACCGAGCTCCCCTCACCTAGTGCAACAACAACAGCAACTACTACGTTAACTACAACGGCCTCTGTCGCCAACATTGCAATAACGACTCCACTCTCTTCTTCTGCAGCGGGTATAGCAACAACACAATTAAGTGCAAAAATCGGGTCAAACGGCAAAAACAAAGCTACGGTTGAAGAAATGACAAATCCGCAAGCGGGTTCGGCCATGCAGACAGGCATGGATCGCTACATAAATATTTCCAAGCGCAAGCTAACGCCCTCAAAAAATTCTGACGGCAATAAGCCCAAAGTAAACCGTACCAACAAAGGCCGTGAAAATCTCGTGCCACTAAATGAAAATAGATTTTCCATTCTGGCGGAGCACGAAACAGAGTCTGAACAATTAGCCCCAAGGAAACTGAAGCCGCCACCTATCTTTATTCGGGAGAAGACCTCGAATGCCCCAGTCAACAAAATAGTTGAGCTAGTCGGAAAAGATAGCTTTCATGTTATTCCGCTTATGAAAGGGAATATAAGTGAAACTAAACTGCAAACCAGAACTGAAGACGATTTCCGAGCAGTGTCAAAGTACTTAAACGATGCCAAAAAGAATTACTACACGTACCAGCTAAAAAGCTGCAAAGGCTTGCAAGTTGTGTTTAAGGGAATAGAACCCGATGTGACCCCCTCCGAAATTACAGAGGCTTTAAAAGAAAACGGTTTCTGTGCAAAACATTTTATAAACATTATGAACAAAAACAAGAAGCCGCAACCACTATTCAAGGTCGAGCTGGAGCCAGACAGCAGAACTTTGAAAAAAAAACACAGTGCACCCGATCTACAAGTTGCAGTACCTGCTGCATCGTAGGATCACAGTAGAAGAGCCGCACAAACGGAACGGGCCAGTGCAATGCACGAACTGCCAGGAATACGGACACACCAGGGGTTACTGCGACCTCAGGTCAGTATGTGTAGCTTGTGGAAACATCCACGACTCCGAGCCCTGCCCTGCCAACAAGGAAGACTCCCTCACTAAAAAGTGTGTAAACTGCCAAGGAAACCACACAGCAAACTACAGAGGCTGTCCAGTCTACAAGGAGATGAAAAGTCGGATGCAACGAACGACAACGGCACGCTCCCAGAACACACAGAAGAATTACATGAGATCACAAACGACACCGGAAGTTTTCTTCGCAAAAGCAGCCAGGTCTTCATTTGGCCCTTCAATTACCACCAACGGCATTTCTTACGCCAGTGCTCTAAAATCAGGCACAGCTCACATAGAACCGAAAATGGATAACATCCCGCAGGCCATGGGACATCCCCAAAGTGACATGGAAACTATGATGATCACTTTGCAACATAATATGATAGAATTTATGTCCTTCATGAAAACCACAATCCAAACCCTTGTGCAAACCCAAAACATCTTGTTAAAAATACTTGCAGCTCAGCAGTCCAAATAAACTATGCCTAGTCTTCGAATAACTTTGTGGAACGCCAACGGTGTAACGGCATAAACCTGAAATAAGTCAATTTCTGAACGAAAACCACATCGTCGATATGTTGCTGGCAGAAACGCATCTCACCAGCAAATATAATTTTCAAATACGGGGATACACGTTCTACAGCACAGATCATCCATTTCTCGCAATCTAATATCTGCAAAATCGCTTTTGGATCTATCATCGGAATTAATCGAGCACCCTTGGAGGCTGACGTCGTATCGAACCAACTGGCTAAAGTTAAAAAAGTACGTAAGTTCCCACATTGAACTGACTCCACAGCTCAACATCAAGGAGGACATCGACTGCTATGCCGATGCACTGGAGTCTGTACTCGTCGCAGAAGCCAAAGACTCTACACCGCAAGGGAGGGATGGGCGCACACACCAACACAAAACTAACTTGAAAATCAAACAGCTTTTTTGGAGAAAAGACGTTTAAGGCGTGCTTGGCAAACCAGCAGATCGCCATCCTCGAAACAAAGTCTTAAGGAAGCTGGTTGCAGACTTACCAGGGCTCTAAGGCACGAAGAAGTAGAAGCACAACGCCAGTACATTGAGAAACTTTCACCCAAATCTAAGTGCGCCGGCCGAAACAGTAATTCCCATAGGAGACTCTTTTGGCAGCTGGCCCAGGAGCGACAAAGACAGAGCTTGTACATTTGCTTTACACCTTCGAAATGTCTTTCAGCCAAACCCTGCAACAAATTCATTCGCACTACCGTCGCCGCCAATTCGAATCGAAACTGCGACGGACCCAATTCAGTTTCAACCAAACGAAGCTGCAAAGGACATCAGCGAGCAATTGAAACCAAAAAAGGCCCCGGGCGGTGATCTAATAACTGCGAAAATGCTAATTGAACTCCCAAACTGTGCAGTTGAGGTCATTTGTAAACTCTTTAACGGGATTACACGACTTGGCTACTTCCCAAAAAAATGGAAAAAAATCGTAATCGTAATCATAATGATTTTAAAGCCAGGAAAAGATCACGTGTCTGTCAAAACTGCTCGAAAAATGCCGTTTGAGGCGCATAATCCCATATCTGAAAGAGCACAACGTTATTCCGGCACATCAATTTGACTTTCGAGAAAGCCATGGAACAATAGAGCAATAGAGAACAATAGAGCAAGTCAACAGATTAACAACGGAAATACGGTCTGTATTCGAATATCGGAAATACTGCAGTGCGTTATTCCTTGGTGTTGCACAGGCTTTCGATCGAGTCTGGCTTGATGGCCTTATGCACAAAATCAGAACTATTCTGCCGGAAAACACTCACATGATACTTGAATCGTACCTTTACAACAGAGAATTCGCCGTGAGATGCAACACTTTAACACACTATAGAGGCTGGAGTTCCCCAAGGTAGCTAGCTAGGTAACTAGCTGATCACCTCGTGGTAGTGGAGAGGTGGTTATCAGACTGGCGTATAAAAATAAATGCGCAAAAGTGTAAACACATAACGTTTACTCTTAACAGACAAACGTGTCCCCCGCTAACTCTGAATAACACGCCACTTCCACAAGCTGACGATGTAACGTACCTTGGCGTTCACCTAGACAGGAGACTTACATGGAGGTAACATATCGAAGCCATGGGCTCTTATTTTCTCGCTCCTCCTCTGCCTGGACTTCAAGGTCCTGCTCTACAATTCAACGCTTAAGCCAGTCTGGACATACGGCTCCCAGTTGTGGGGAAACGCGAGCAGCAGCAACATAGACATTATCCAGCGATCACAGTCAAAAATCTTGAGAACTATCACTGGGGCACCTTGGTATGTTCGGAACGACAACATGCACAGAGATCTTGGCATTCTGCCCGTAAAAGACGAAATATCAAAACAAAAAGCGTCCTACCACACCAAGCTATGTTCTCATCCAAACCAACTCGCCAGGGGCCTAGCCATGGTTCCATACCGGACCCGATTGCAACGAAATGACCTTCCAGCTCAGCAATAGTTATTAGAGCCCCTTAATCTCGCGTCAGTCATCTTGACTGTTAGATAGCTCTATAATTTAAGATTTTATATACTTATTGTTAGTCTCAATTCAGAGAAGATCCAATAAATAAAATGCATACGATAAAAAAAAAAAAAAATTAAATAACCAAGGTAATTAAAAAAAAGGGGAATGTCACATTTTAAAGCTTGGTGCTAACCGCATTCAACAATAAAAATATAAATATGATAACGTGTCTCAAGATGGACAAAAAAAAACTTTGAAAACTGCTGACGAAATTGCCCCACTCTTTCCTACACACAAAAAAAAAACTTGGTAAAATCAACTGTAATAATTGTCAAACAGGCCCCAACCAGCAAAATTGTCAATTCTACTAAGTAAATAGTCATTTCACAACAACAAAATACACACAATTAGCAAAGACACAAACCCAAAGCAAAAACAAAATACACGTAACAATTTTAATAGTTACGTAACTATCTTTGTTGGTCAATTTTACCAATCAAATTTTTTTGTGTGTACACAGATTTTTCCAATCCTAACATTTCTTCAACGTCATATTGAGATATTTCCAATTTAATATACATGTTCGAAATGAACTGATTTTTTGAATTTAGGGGGAAAACTGAATTTTTTAGGGGGAAATATCGACAGTTTGAGATTTTTCCGGGGGAAAGCTGAATTTTTAACTGCACACAAAAAAAAACTTGGTAAAATCAACTGTAATAATTGTCAAACAGGCCCCAACCAGCAAAATTGTCAATTCTACTAAGTAAATAGTCATTTCAAAACAACAAAATACACACAATTAGCAAAGACACAAACCAAAAGCAAAAACAAAATACACGTAAATCTTTAAATAGTTACGTAACTATCTTTGTTGGTCAATTTTACCAAGCAAATTTTTTTGTGTGTAACAACACTGGCGTTCTCTCTTGTTAAATCTTTATTTTGTAAATTGATAACACTAATGATACGTAAACATCTAAACCTGTCCATATTTCTTAGCTTATACTTTTATTTGACCCCTGGACTAGGTTTGGTATGAATTTATCAGTACAGATTTATTTCTATAAACGGCAGTTGCAATCTCACTCTTACTGTTGATGACATTTAACAATTAATAACTAATCCGTAAACTAACATTAAGATTAACAGCCGACCTAACCATCTAATTACATAATAAATTAATCGAATTATTTTTTTACCAAAGACCAGTAACAGTAAGGTCCAAAACTAATTAAAGCGAGAGGAGTTTCCGGATCTGTTCGGAGAGTTTAGCCGTGGGTGTCCATAAACATACGCCTCTGAAAATGAATCAGAATGCTGACTTCGTCGCCCTGGAGAAAACTTTCGCGAGTTTAAGGAATCTAATAAAGTATAAAACAGATATGTTTTTTATCTAAATATAACTTTTATAAGAATAGAAAAAACTCACCACCAAAAGTATCGTCCTGATGCAACAATTTGGGGGCACTGCCCAGCTTGGATACCGATTTGTTTTTTTGGAATACTGTAAATAAATAGTTTAATTTATTATTTTATGTCTTTTGGTTAGCATAAAAACCTAAAATATTGAAAAAATCTAGAAGACTCTCCAAATGGCACTCTTGCAAAGCCAAACATTTTTTTTTTTGTTTTCTTTCTCTTTTAAAAAAAATACTTCCATACACAAATTTCAACATTAAATACGTTCAGACAGTGCACTATGGGAAAAAAGTCTATTTTTTTGGCATAAACTCTAGTTTTCAGAGATACAATTTAGAAATGTTGTATATATACTATTAAGATAAAGCTGTAATTTCGGTTTTTGTTGCTTTTCGAATCGGACCATTGTTTTCATCCACCGCCCACGCCGCATATTCAAAATAATTGGCAGGTAAAATAATTTCGGTTTACGTTAATTTCTAAAATTTGTAAAAAAAAAAAAAATTGGTGACATGTACAAGAAAAGTAAAATATTATCTAAGAGCAGATGCCAATTTTAGCTTTAACGGGGGTCCAGCTTCTTTATATTTGAGTCCTTTGCAGCCAGGATTTTCACTTGACTTGTCCCTTTCCATTAATTCAATTTTTAAGATTAATGAAAGCCACTTAGTTTGTTTTTTATTAAAAAAAAAATTTTATTTATGTTTATAAGTTGCTGGATTTAAGTCATTTTTTTTAAGAAACGTGCAAAAAGTTTCAAAAATGATTAGTTTTGCGATATTAAGGATACATTTGGTAACAACTTTGCGTTTTTACCTTTTTGCAACTTTGTGCCATTTATAAGTTGTACACCACGGAACACAAACAAACTTGTTAGTTTTAAGCTAAAAAGATACACAATTAAAACAGTTCACAGTTGGACAACAAGCCATAATAATCAAAACATGTAATCTAAGATACATTTATAAATACTTTTGCTACGATTTGACATGATCAGAAATAATAAACCATTTTGTTGCTCCACAAAATAAGCACTGAAAGTTTGCAAATATTTTTCACTAATTTACGCACACAACAAAGTCAATCAAACAGCTGACTTTGTTCGTTTATCAACCCTATAGTGTTGCTAGTAAAAAATCTTAGATAACTGTTCTTGGCTAATTAGGGTATGTAAATTCACAAAATATATTTTATTTTTAAAAATAATTTGTAAAATAAGTTGATTTTATGCCAAAAAAATTGACTTTTTTCCCATACTGCAGTGGTCAATTTCATTAAAAACCGTTCTGTGAGGCACGATCCGCGGCTGGGTAAAACATGGTTTCGAGAAAAACGCATTTAAAGTAATCAAATATATGTGAGCGGTTCTTTTACAAACCGAACACCTTTTCTTGGGTCACATTTTTGATTTGCCTGAAATTTTTTTTACGTGTACTATTCGGAAAATTAGTAAACACGTGTATCAGGATTTGGCCGAAAATAAATTATTTTTTTTTAATTTTTTTTGTTTGCCAAAAAACGTGAATTTTGGAAAAAGTACCCTCTCCTTGAAAATTTGAAATTCCGGTTGTAGTAATCCGATTGACTTCGTGTCTTTTGCATTAATTCCTCTACAAACTCTTCTTTAAAAAACAAAATTAAAAAAAATTAAATTTTAATTTCTTAAAAATAAAAACAAATTAGGATTAAAAAAAAAATTTTAACGGGTTTGTTTGGTCTCAATGTTGCTCAACAATACCAACGACCAACAAATCAAGCAGTACTACAGTTTGGTAACAGTACCAGGCGTCCAGTTGCACCCACGGCAGATAATAAGTGCTGATCAGCATATTCTACATAGTCAATGTCAACGGTTGACTCGATGTCTCACTGAGCCGCCAAGCGGTCAGCACATTCTGCAGTGTCAGCCGATCCAACTACGCTAACCGCTCCCATAGTCAAAACATACTGACCTACGCCAGAATACAACCCATTCCACTATTCTTTACATTTAACTTCCTCATCTCCAAGTAGTATATAACCATCTACCAAGCTAAATCAGTTATCAACACATCTTATAACTCCTTTCTGACCTCCGGGAAGAGGCCTCGTATACAAACTTATATTGATCTACAAGAAACGCTTGGGATCAAACAGGGTTCCCCACAAAAAAAATTGTAAATTGAACATATGCGCCATATTGTTAGCTTCAATCGGTTTTTGTCAAAAAGGTGGAGCCATGTTTAGTTTTTAAAATATCGAATTTGTTTTAACAAGGGCTCGGCTTTTTTCTTTAAAAAAACGTCGCAGAATGTGGGTCTTCTCTCTTACTCTTATCGGGTCCTTATGGATTTTATGTTTTCTCATCGTTTACTAGGCCTTTAACAATTTTTAATGATTAAAAATTAACTTTTAAGTGTTTTGACAATTTTTGAATGACAAAAAGTAAAAAGTCATTTTTTAATCTGTTAAAAACTTACAATTATTTATTTAACCGTCCATTTAATTAATTATATTTTTGTATTATGTAATTTATTAAACATTTTTAAATATTTTTTTTTTAATTAAAAAAAAAAAATTATGAGCGCGCTCGCACATGATGCGAGCTCAGCTCTGCTGAGGACGTTAAATATGTTTACCTCTCTGTCTCTCTTAAGCGATAGAAAGAGATAGCTAGATAGAGACTAGCACAAATAACCTCCTACAAAAGTACACGATATTCTACAAGGTACACTTGCAGCAAAAACGGTGTCACTCTTTAACGGCGCAAACAAAAACAAGAAAGGAAGCTAGCTTCTGCCAGCCGAAGCTTATATACCCTTGTAGATCATTATTATACCCTTGCAGAGGGTATTATGATTTCAGTCAGAAGTTTGCAACGCAGTGAAGGAGACGTTTCCGACCCCATAAAGTATATATATTCTTGATCAGCATCACAAGACGAGTCGATCTAGCCATGTCCGTCTGTCCGTCTGTCCGTCCGTCTGTCCGTCTGTCCGTCTGTCCGTCTGTCTGTTTCTACGCAAACTAGTCTCTCAGTTTTTGAGCTATCGGGACGAAACTTTCGCAAAAGTCTTCTTTCTATTGCAGGTAGTATATATGTCGGAGCCGACCGGATCGGACAACTATATCTTATAGCTCCCATAGGAACAATCGGAAAAAAAAACTTTAAAAAATTCTAGCTTCGGTGTTTTTTGAAATATTACCTTCTACTTTTGGGGATGTTATTTTTTAAATATTTTTGAATTTCGAATAAATTATTTAAAAAATCGGACTACTATATCATATAGCTGCCATAGGAACGATCGGAAAATTAATGGAAAAGTAATAGGAAATAAATTCAAGCTTCTTTGCTTTTTATTGTATTATCTTCTACTCTAGGATATGACTCTTTTTAAATATTTCCGAATTTCAATTTTAATTTAATCAAAATCGGACGACTATATCATATAGCTGCCATAGGAACGATCGGAAAATTAATGAGAAATATTAGAAAATTGAACATTTTTGCGATTTGTTAATTAATAGGAATGATCTGCAAGGGTATATAAGCTTCGGCTGGCCGAAGCTAGCTTCCTTTCTTGTTTTTTTGATCCTTCCTATGGAAGCTATATAATATAAACGTCCAAATTTTGTTAAATTTTATTTGAAATTTTGAAATGTCAAAGAAATGCTATATCCCAGTGAAGAAGAGAGTGGAATAAAAATCAACAAAGACATAATTTTTTTTTCAATTATTTTTTAAAAATTTTACTCTAAATTCAGAAATAAAAAAAAATAATATTCCAAAGAGTAGAAGGTACACTCAAAAAAAAAATCGACTTTACTGGCGATTTTGTCTATATTAAAGAATGTAGGTTTTTAAAATCAAAGGCAATTTTTCTAAAACTCAAAAAAAAACAAGAGAGAACGCTATAGTCGGGTTCGTGTCCCGACTATCTAATACCCGTCACTCAGCTAAAGGGAGTGCGAACGCTGTACTCGGGTTGGTGTCCCGACTAATAATCGTAACTCAGTTAAAGGGAGTGCGAGGGAGATAGATATAGAAAATTTGATTGCGTATAACTTTTTAATGAATGGTCCGATTTGAAAAATGTCTTCTACATTTCGATAGGTATAAATATGCACAACAAAATTGCATGTATACTTCTCGGAAATCTTAAAAGGTGTGGGCGCCAGACACATTTTAAAATCGTTAGTGGGCGATTGTGGGCGTTAGAGGGGGCGTGGCTAAAATAAACTTGCGCTGCGTAGGAAGCCCAAGAATATGCGTGCAAAATCTCAACCTTCTAGCTTTTGTAGTTTCCGAAATCTCAGCGTTCATACAGACAGACAGACGGACAGACGGACAGACGGACAGACGGACAGACGGACAGACGGACATGGCTAGATCGACTCGGCTAGTGATCCTGATCAAGAATATATATAGTTTATAGGGTCGGAAACGCTTCCTTCTACCTGTTACATACTTTTGCACGAATCTAATATACCCTTTTACTCTACGAGTAACGGGTATAAATAGACTGCAATTCAGACATTTTTTGCTAGAAAGTAAAAAATTATTTCTTAGAATTAAGAAATAAAGGTTTTCTACAAAATAAAAATACGGTTTTTTTAAATATAGACAAATATTTTTTAAATAACAAAAAAGAATTTCTCAAATTCAGAAAATACAAAAATCTATTTTCGGGCTTCGGAATTATACCCGGTTGTTTCTGTGACGCCATGGGCCCTTTTGTTGTTTTTTTTTCGTCCTTGTTTGTCACCTTTTTATACCCGTTACTCGTAGAGTAAAAGGGTATATTAGATTCGTGCAAAAGTATGTAACAGCTAGAAGGAAGCACACATATTCTTTGGCTTCCTACGCAGCGCAAGTTTATTTTAGCCGAGCGCCACGCCCCCTCTAACGCCCACAATCGCCCACTAATGATTTTAAAATGGGTCCTGCGCCCACATCTTTAAAGATTTCCAAAAATTATAAATGCAATTTGGTTGTTTATATTTATACCTATCGAAATGTAGAAGACATTTTTAAAATCGGACCATTCATTAAAAAGTTATACGCAATCAAAAATTGTATATCTATCTCCCTCGCACTCCCTTTAG